TTAATAGTTAGTGAGGAAATAAAAGCAGTACGTGAATGATTAGATGAATTTTAATCTTCGAGAGCAAGGGGTAAACCACGTACTCCTATCCTATAATCAAGAATAAATGGTAACTCTTGAATTTTCTTTTAGTTAATATTTTGATGTTCAAATCAATAAGAATGATAAATTTGTAAGCGCGAGAGGTAAAAGAGATTTTATAAATAGTAAGTGTGTATAAAATCTAGAGAGTATAAAAGCGTAAAAAGTTCTCCTCAATATTTATATTAACTAGCAATATATATTTTCGTAATATATAGTGTAAAAGAAGAGTTTAATAATCACGATCATAATTAAAATATGGGGATGATGCGAGAGTAATTATAAAGTAATATAAACTTAATTGTAATATTTAATTATGTTAATTGACGTGATATCTTAACCCCACCCTATTCCAAAATGCATTATTTTCTTTATTCAAATATTGTATTAGTTAATTTTGATTATTTTTTTTTCATTTATTGTTTAACTGAATAGTTGATATATTTATTTATTTATAAGATATTGTAGGTTCAAGTTGGATTATGTTTTCGTATGTATTCTTTATTTAGAGATTATTTATATTATCTTACAGTTGATGTGTGTATGTTACTTAATCGATGAATACATGAACTTTCTACTAATTTTTTTTTTAAAATTTGATTATTTTACGAGGAGTATTATAGTAAACGAAATAATGCATTTTTAAGTTTACGAGTTTGTTTAGTTAAACTTTTAGATGTGATTTTTGTATTTTAAAAGTAGTTTTGTAACTTAACAGATAAAATATAAACTATTTTTGACAATAGCTAAGTCCAAAATAAGTTTAAAATCAAAAGTTACAATGGGTAACTTTTATAAAATGAATTTAAAATTTTAAAATTAATTTTATCAAATACAAAATTTCTATTATTTTTTAATAAAAATAATAATATCTTTTATAATTATTTTTATTGAATACTAAATAATTTTTAATTAACAACTATTTTAAGAAAACTTACTGTTAAGAACTTCTGCCAGCCCAAACCCCACACACAAGTCATCTAACATGCAACATGTACGTATATGGTTGACTTGTTTTGTCACTAGTTCTGGAAACTTTTCACAGCCAGGGAATAAATATCTCAAATCTGCAAAATTTTTTGTTCAAAGGTTTTACAATCTTTGGCAGATCTGGTGGCTATTTAAAAGAAGGATTGATTAAAAGACTACTACTTAAAGCATTTTATTTTATTTTTTGAAGAAATACTGTGTAGCATTAGCAAGTTGGTCATCTGGGTCGATTTGGTTTCTTGGTTACTTTCTTGAACTTCAAGGTTTGAATAATATATACATACCTTAAAAGTAATATAACGACATTAAAGAAAAAAGAATGACTTCCACCCACATTTTCATATATGTACAATATCAGATACGAGATGAAATTGTCCAGAAAGAGATGTCACTGGAAGTGGAATTAAATATGAAGTGGAGAAATAATTAAGGGAGTCAAAGTTTAGGAGTCTGTTCTGCAGAGAATTGAATGTAAATTAAATACTTGCCGCCAAAAACCTTCTCTGGGTTTAGGGTTTTGAGAGTTTTCAAGTGGAATCTCCAGCTAAGTCAGAGCTCTCTCTGCTCTTTTATTTTTTTCTTTGCGTTGAGTTTATCTATCCCGGGTGAAGTAAAAGCCAGACAGTAAAAGGACAGAGCCACCATGGTTACCTTGTCTTCTAGCTCTTGTCTTTATTTGATCACTTTATGTCTGGATTGGTTAATCTACACTGCTTCACAACTGAGTGGAATTTCTGAGACAGTAAGGAATGGTATGTCGAATTTAAATGACTTGTTTGTTCTCTTCTCAACATATTCAGTTCTAGTTACTTGATTAATTTCATCTTATCTTGGTAAATTTATCTAAGGCGTTTCAATGATTGTCTTCTCATTCATTAACCCAGATGAGTTAATCTTCAACCAAAAAAAGGAAAAAAAAAAAAACCCAGTTGAGTGGAAAGCCATTGCATGCAGTAAATGCTGGATTTTTGTGGCTACGGAAGTTGGTTAGGCCGATGACTGGTGGCTGACCATTAGCGGACCAGAACTATTTCTGAGTGAATAATGGGCTGCAATATATAGAGCCCAATTCAATAAATGTTTTATTTTTATTTTTTTTGAAATAAAAAAACCCTATTGAGATCTGTACTCAGCTATTCTTTTCTCGCCAACTCCCCATTTCCATACCCATAAGCCATAGCAGCACCAGGAAGAAAATCGGGGAGGACGGGGTTGAGCAACAAAGCATGGATCTCAAGAGAAAAGAAATGATTGTATCAGCTCTCTGTCAATACTTCTCATTGGATCCTGTAAGCAAAGCTTACACTTTTCAATTGTTCATGTACAATTATTCTGTGCCCGTCTTTTGCTTAACCTTCGAGTTATCTCTTTCTGTTTCACTGGTCTCCCTATCTTTTTGTTTCTTGAATTGGGTATTGCTCCAATTCATTGATTATCATTAATGTTTAGTAGATTCAGAGTTGGCTGCTGTAGGTGAATACAACTGTTCAATGGGTGCTAGATACCACTTGTGCTTAACACTGTCAGTTTAGTTGCTTCTATGATGTGGGTTTTGCAAACGCGGAAAATTTAATAGTTGTAAATGAGGAAAAATTATTTGAAAGAGCTTCTTTTTCGTTTGCTTATCTCCAAAGAGGTCACTTCTGCATCATAATGTGTTCAATTGGGTGCGTTATTCTCATGGCAGCATTTACTAGTACAATGCGAGTGCTATGTGGACTGTGGTGGGATCTTGTTGTTCTGCATTGTTGAAAGGAAAAGATTTTTTATAGTGTACATGTGCTACTTCCACTTACTGGATCTTTTAAGTGTTTGTCTATGCATGGTGGAAAGGAAGATACTTTTTTAGTTTACACGTGGGATTTGCTTGTCATTTTAACAGTGTTTTTCTGTTATTTGCTTCACCTGTTGGCCTGTAAATGCTTTGATTTCGGATTTAGTCATGGGATGGAAAATTTGTTCCTAATTTTATATCAGTTTGTGCAGAAACCTTTTCTGGAGGACATTCCGGAGAACGATATCAAGGATTTGTACTCAAAAATTTCAAAGGCATCCACAAAGGCATCATCTTTGGAAAATAACGATGAGGTAGAATTTTGTTGGTTTTCTTGCCAATTCCTTTGAGTCAGAACCTAGAATGGAAAAGAATTCATCTAGGCATAGATTACTGGCTAGGCCATGATTACTTAATTATGGCAGCATTGCTTAGATCAGTTTTTAAAGTGATTATTCTAGCACTAAGAGCATGTTGATAAGGCAACACTACTTGTCAGACTCAGAGAATCAGCATCTTTGTTGTACTTGTCACATTTACGCTTTACTTTTTGGATAGTTCAATGTTGATTCTAAATTTATGAGATCCATGTTGGTTTGTAGGTTGCCAAGTGGATAACATTTGCAGATCCTTCAAATTCCAAAGCATCCGTTGACATTCTCAAAGAATTGAATGAGGACTTGGCTCCAAAATCTGTACTTTCAGGAAATGGATTAAGACCATCAGAAGTTGATGTTATTGTATTTTCTAGCATACATTCTTTAGTGGTATGCATTTACATGATTTGATGAATAATCCAATAGGAATTTTGTGTTTCTTGTGGCTTTTGTCATATAAGCTTTAGATGAAAACAGCTGATGAGCTGACCATAGTGTTTTCATGTTATTCTATATCCTAAAACATCTGTTATTACAACTTCGTACTTTATTCTGTTTGTTTAGCAACTTTATATCATTCACAATTAATTTACAACTAAAAACAATATTTTTCAGGGTTAAAGATTGAAATTATGACCTGAGTGATTGTCGTTTTGTTGCTAGGCTGACCTATCAGATTCAGACAAGGAAAAGTTACCACATTTGATGCGATGGATTGATTACATCCAGGTGGGTTGAATCTACATATATTTTATGTTTTAACTTCTGGAATAAAAGAAATTTGTTTAGTTATTAAAGCACATATTATTCCAACACATTCTGCTCTTAAATTTTTCTTATACAACAGCATTAATGATGCTCATAAACTTTTTCTCATTTACCAATTTTTGTAGAACAAAGAGAATTTGTGGAAACTATTTGGAACAATATCTCTGCAGAAGCCTGGGTTTGAGTATCAGGTGAAAAATCTTACCATTATTTTATATTGTAAGTCCACTGGTTTCTAGAGACTAGATGACAAATATGATATTGTTATGGTTTTTCCATTTTGTTTCCTTGATTCAAGTTGCCGGGAACAAGAACTGCAGCTAAGGTGGAAGTCGATTCAAATGCAAAAAAGACTGCGCAAGGCAGTAGAAGTGCTGATAGGTCAGAAGCAGAACCCAGTACCAAGAAAGGAGATTCTGGGGTAAATTTTAGATTTACCTTGTTCATTGTGTCATTCAGATTCACATTATTTAGGGTTTTGGGACTTGGTAGAACACTATAGTCCTTTCATGTTGAAACTATATTGAAAAACATTTACAATCTGATGTGTAATTAAACAAAATATATGTGTTGGAAGTTATCTTTAGAAGGCAGCTTTATAGATGTGTAGGAG